AAAAAAAAAGAAGCCTGAACAGAATACTAAATGGAAAACTGTAGGCTTCAACGGTTTTATTAAAAATGCCATATCATTCCTGGATGACATCATTACAGTCATTTTCTTGAGTCAGTTTCTTGGCACTATCACATTTTTTTCATTAATTAATTAATTTCATTTTTCATTGCAGTGAGGTTCTCATCTAGAGCTGACAGATTATGTGCTCCTTCCCCTTCACTGTTTTCTTCTTTTTTATAGAATGTTTGATAGCCAAACCTTTTTCCCCCCGAGTCACAGTGCCTGTCTCAGGGGGAAACAACATTCAGAACCCCCATTATTTCAGCCACAGACTTTTTTTTTTTCAACAATCCTCAGTCTGGTGGAAACATTTGTGGGAATCTGTGTCTTTTGACTTCCTCTTTGCACAAAAATGTTTCACTTTCTTCATTTGGACTTTCTCTTGCTTCCTTGCTTCAGTGAAGCGTACAGGGTTTTCTCTTTCAGCATTGCCACTAATTTCCCCATTTAACCTAGAGGTAAATGCATTTTCTTATATAGATAATGTCGTGTGCAGATAGTATGCGTATACAGATTGCACCAATCTGTTAGTTCAGAATGATTCTGTTTTGCTAACATGCCTATAGTGATGAGGGCAAAAAAGGGCAGTGCACATGCTCGATTAATCTGATAGTAATTTTACGCACTTGTTTTTCGTGCACGGTAAGAAGACTTCCAAACACACCTAAGTAATTGAGGGCCAGTGTGTCACAGTCTCAAAGAACAAGTGCAAATTGTGCTTCCAGCCTCATCTGTAATATACCTCGGCTGACTTCAAATACCCGCATTGGACTAAATCGGGCTAATCCCAGCTCAAAGGGATGCCTAAAGTTCACAAAGTGTGGGCCCTTCTTAACAAAGAAGCAGGTTAATTAAGACTCACACTGACTCACTCTACTACCCTCTACCACAGGTGGGCATCGAGATGGACAAGTAAGCCAGAGCTGGACAAAATTCATCCTCATTGAATGAATAGAACATTTTATCAGCATGTGTTGATGCATAAAAAATACAGTGACGCAGTAATGATTGTTGTGTAACAGATGATTTTCAGTCCTTCCTGACTTTCATTTTGCTTTTTGTTCATATGTAAGATTCTCATTAAATGAAGTGTGAGAAAAGGTGCCAGCTCTTGGACCCAACAGAGCTAATTATCAGGTCTAATGGCTAACGTGAGTCACTGGTTTCTCTAGCAACCATCATGCAATATCACACATTCAAAGGTGATGAGGGGGTAAACTACAAAAGGTGCAACCTTTAGCAGCCTGGATTTAGAACTGTGCAGCTTACAATATTGTGTTTTCAAAATACAACTATGTACCAACATTTGCTTTGCTATGTTACTTTCATTTGCTTTATTTTGTCCAAATGGATGACACTAAAACACACTTATTTAAAATATTCATATTCTGTTAATAAAATAAAAAGTTTCCTTTTAAATCTTAAGAATCAAGGAACCACTATTTGTATGGATAGTAACTTCGCATGCAGTAATCAGTACAATATATTGTTTGCCCAAGAATAAAATTGTGGCATATATCTAAAAATGGCTTAACTTGCCAAGACCCTGAGGAAAATTCCTAGTGTCCCTACTTTAATTACAACAATACAGGTGCAAGCAGAAACTGTAAGAACCTCTATGCATATTCAGTACAGTGAGGCTATAACACCCCACTATTTGAAGTCTCCCACATGTTTGTTTGAATCTAGTATAGAACCATTTGGGCTGTCTATGATGCTACATTAGTGCTCAGTAATTTTCCTTGATCTAAAACTTTCTAATTTAGCATTTGATGAGTGTTATTCTAAAGGGTGTTGACAAAGGACCACAGAGGAATGAAGCTGGGCTTCTTTAGTGCCTATCATCCTTTTTCCACCTCTGATGCAATGGTTCTCAGAAGCTTTGGAACTAGTTGGCAGCAAAAGCACTGTCCATGTTACTGAATGTTATTGCTTGTAGACACATGGAATGCAAAATTAGAAGTGTGATTAGTGGCGTTGCTGTTTCTTTTTTGTGAAACATTACATCCTGGAAACAGCATTTTAGGAATATTTGCAGAAGTGGGTTAATCTAAAACAATTACAGGGCTGAAACATTCTCCACAGAGTCTTGGGAAAAGATCAAAATGTTTCTGAACTGATAGCAGTACTAGCTCCTGGTGTAGGAAACTAAACAAATACTATTTTGCACATATAGCTGGCACATGCTTAGGTAATATGATGATCTAATTAGCACATCTGAAACATCTGTTCGGGTTCTTGAGTAATACAGTACTTTAATATTCTACTATTCAGCCTTGGGCTGTTCATTAATCTAGCATATTAATGTAGAGATACTTCTGATAAGTTCAAATAGAGAAGATGAAAAAGTAATCATTTTGTAATGACCAGCTCCACAAATAAGTTCAAAATGAAGAGTTAAGTAGGTGCAGCAAACAAGACAATATTTTACCTGCAAATAAATACTAATGCATGTATGACAGTCTTTAATTACACTACATCTAATTTTACATTATCAGTCTATTTGCACCTGCAATCTAAACCTGGGCAAATATTTTCATCTTTTAAATATATCTCTGCAATCAACGTCTAATACCACTAACACACTCACACACTTTTATATCAGTTTTTTGATCAATTTGTTTAATATCCGCTCAGATGCCACCTGACAATAGATTTGCGTTCAGAAGGAAACTGTCTCTAATTAAAGCCTAAAGCATGAAGATACTGCTTGAAACAAAAAAAAAATATCATTAAATGCTTGTAATGTTTCATATGCTCATAATCCCTGAACATGCACGCTGGAAATTTGACACTTTGAGATTTGACAAAAAAAAAATAAAATAGACATCTGACCATATTGGGGAAACAAAAAAACAAAACTAGTTGTTGAGTGCAGCACAGTTAATTAAAACAATGGCACCACTCTAGATCTGTCACATCACTTGGCAGTTGCTTTAATTATATATCTTGGTCAATCTGTTCTTCCTGATGTGAGAGGGGATGCCATACACGAGACAACATCTGCTGAGGTATGTCACATGAGCTTCAACATCTGTCCATGTTTTTAAACAGCCTGTCACTCACTTGAGTCATGTTGCATATGTATTTATGCGATCATATTCAGAAAGCACACACACAATACTGTTAAATGCTGAGAGCTTACATCTGTGCCAGACACAATTAACACTCTTAGATTAAGGAGCAAATCTGCACACAAACAGAGAGATTGGCACTACACACAAACACCCAGACACACCCTGTGGCTTGCAGTCATTTTGGTCCCTTATGTTGTCCATCAAGAAGACAGTGGTGACTGTTCTCTAAACTGACTCCACCCACAACGGCTTGTGATCACCTAAGCTGTCAACTAACATCTGCTAAAACTACCAACAAGCCAACTGTGAGACTGGCTCTGAAGATATCTCCACAGAAAATGTGTCACCTACACATGTTCAGAACTCAGCGGCATGTTTTCCCCTTCTATTTTTGCTAATTTTTATGTGGCAAACGTTATCTGCAAAGCCTTGGAGAATGTCAAACTGTTTTGTACGGCTGAAATGTAGGAAGTGTCTTGAAAGCTCATGTCAACTCGTCCTGGTTGAAAATAAATTGTTTACATCAATGTCAAATATTTTCAGTACTGAATAATGGCCATCCTTTGAATGCCACAGTAGCGACATGAATAAAGTATTGTTAGATCTAGTTGGTGTGTGTTTCACAAATATATCACTTTTCACTCAGTGTGGTTCAGAGGAATCAGTCATGTTAGGTTGCTAATCATACCCTGAGTTTTTGAATTTGTGGTTGTTTGTGATGGAATGCCCCTGTGCAAGGCTGTCTTTGGTGCTGGGTATTCTTTGAAGTTGTGTTATCAGCATCTTACCTCTCACTAGCTGTTTTTTTTTTCTGTGTTGAATGTGAGTTCAGCACATATTTAACTAAAAAAGTAAATAAATAAAAACCACAGATCCATTTCAGTGGCTCAAGCATGTCTGTGTAACTGGTGGGATCAAGACATCTGGACATTTTTCTGTATAATAAGGGATGTTCTACTATATAAGGATAATGATAATCTGCCTTATCCCCTCCTGCACACAAATTTATATTTGTGTAGTTCAAGACACACATTTACACAGTTGCAGATGACACAGAAACCCAGAGACACACTAGCTTTCTAGCCTTACTCTCTAAAATCTTTCTGTTCGTAATCCCTTCTGACTCTATTAATATTTCTGTTTCCATGGTGATTCAAGCCCAAATGTTGTACAGATAAGAGGAGATAAGAGCATAAGGAGCAGGGAGATAAGAGCAAGTGACCTGCCGAGATCACTACAGAGCACTAGAGGTCAAGCAGAAGAGCAGAAGTAAGTAAGTGAGAACAGACCATCCCTGCTCAACACTTCTGCCAACCTGACAAAATCTCATTTTTTAGCAGTGCCACAATTGAGCAAATACTTGCAGCAACTTTCTTTCTGTCTATGCAATTTTACATATATACATGCCTTACCCAGACAAGCAAAACAAACAGTTACTAGTAAGAGAAAGAATGGATAATATAATTTTGGAAATGATTTGGTCTGTTCTTCGTATATCATCACACACAATTTACAGTAATGCACTGAGTAAAACAGCCAGTAACAAATTTGTACTAAATTTTTAACTATTGTTTTACATTTTTACAATCCAGATAGATGGCACAATGACAAAAATGGCATTCGCATAATTCAAATTTGGGACTGTTATTGTCAAAGTAAATCATATCAAATTACTAGAACTGCCAAAGTAGTCAGGAATGAGAGTTGTTGAATCTGTGATATGTTTTCAGGACTGTAGATGATAAGAATAAAATATTGCAAGTCTTATAATGAAATCGCTGCTCTTCAACATTCTCACAAAACACACCAAACCAATCACCCATTCCTCAGACAGACCTTACTATGCGCTTGAGATAACTGTACCTGTTTGTTGTTATACTTCGGTTGGCCCGTCTTGTAGCTGTAATCTGAGTACTGGTCTGAGCCAGTGGAATTGTCGTCTCCTCCTGTTCCTACGAAGGTGTTGGTGGCAGGGAGGTCCTGGACCACCTGATGCTTCTGTGAGGCAGATGGCGATTGGGCTTGCAGCTGGATGGAGGGTAAAGGGGAGTTGGAACGGTAGTGTCTGCCTATATCAGGGCTTCCTGGTGAATATGTTAAAGGCAGATGTATCCTGGGGCTATCATTGACTCCATCAAGGTTGAACTTCAGACTTTTTTGAAGGCTGACCTCTTCGTCTTCCCCGAGTGGTTTTGGAGACTTCTGAGGTTTGCCTTTCCGTCCACGTTTGCCTTTGGTGTTTTTTGGGGCCTGTTTGGGTGCATATAAGTCCTTGGTTTCCTTTTTGCCAGCTTGATATCCACTCTTGGTTTCTCTTTGGATGCGGTGGCGAATAAATACCACCACCAAGATCAACATTACAACACCTGCTACACCAGCAAGGCTTCCAAACAATATATTACTACGTTGAGCAGCAAAACCATTGTCGGGATCACCAGCAATGTCCCTGTCCAGTGGAGTGTAAAGACTGTGTCCCACTAAGGCTTCCACTAAGCTGACATTTGAAATGGTTTCATTGACATAGATGTGGACCAGGGCAGTAGCGTGGCGTGCAGGCTTCCCCTTGTCACTTACTCGCACCACTAGGCGATGCAATCCACCATGTTTGCGTGTCATCTCCTTTGCTAGAGTGATCTCTCCACTTGAGGGGGAAATGCGAAATAACTGGTAAGGGTTTCCACCAGCGATACTGAACACCAACTCTGCATTAGGGCCATTGTCCAGGTCCTCAGCTTCCACTACTTCAACGTGGCTATCTGGGGAGGCTAGAGGTGATAAGCGTCTGAAGGAAGAGTTGGAGGGCTTAGTTATCACGGGATCATTGTCATTTTCATCCAGTACATTGATTGTAACACCCACATATGAAGACCTGGGTGGCTCTCCTCCATCCACTGCTTTTAGACGGAAATTATAGCTGCTTTCTTTCTCCCTGTCAAACGAGATGCTTGAGAGAATAGTTCCTGTTCCATTTTGAACAACAAACTTTCCTTCATCAGGCTCTACAGAGAGGTGAACGTGGGCATTCTCACCTTTGTCCATATCTAGGACTGTCACCATACCAACTGGACTCAGAGGTGGCATGTTTTCCAAGACTGAAAAACTGTAGCCACTAAGCATGAATTTGGGATCATTGTCATTGCGGTCTATTACTTTTATTACAACAGTTGCTGTTCCTTTATGGACAGGAGACCCTTTATCTGCTGCAGTGACACGAAACTCATATTGTTCTTTGTGTTCACGATCAAGAGAGCTTTTGGCTCTTACTTCGCCTGTATTTGGGTCAATCTCAAACAAGCCTTTGATGGATGAATCTGGCAAAATATTATAGAGAAGTTCGGCATTAGTGCCGCTGTCAGCATCTGTGGCTATAACATCTAAAATTTTTTCTCCTGGTTGGTTTTCTTCAGCAAAATCAACCTCAAACAAGGTAGGGGAAAATATTGGAGAGTTATCGTTCACATCAGTCACTTGAACCTTCAAAGAGTTTGTACTAGAGAGTGCTGGGTTTCCAGAATCTACAGCCACAATCTCTACTCGGTAATCTCTAACTCTTTCATAGTCGAGAGGCGTGGTGGTCTGTAGGAAATACTTCCTCTTGTTGTCACTGGTTGAGTCACTGGCAGGGCGAAGCTGAAATGGCACATCACCTGCTACTACACAAGTGACCACAGCATTTTCTCCCTCATCTTTGTCAGATACTTGAACTAAAGCAACAGCTGTTCCGACTGGCATGTCTTCGGAAATATTTGCCACTCCTTCACTGTGAGTCACAAGGCCAATCCCACGAATCTCCACAGCTGGAGCATTGTCATTTTGGTCAGTCACTTCAATGGTTACAAATGTCTTAGAGCTTTTAGGCTGAGGGCCTTTATCCCTTGCTATCACATAGAAGGACAAGCTGCTGATTTCCTCCCTGTCCAGTGGTCCTTTGACATAGATGATGCCAGTGGACCGATCAATTCGTAAGAGTTTCGGCACTGGGTCTACTGCCTGGTGAAGGGTGTACTCAATTTCTCCATTCGGGCCCATGTCAGAGTCGTTTGCTTTGACCTGTAATCAAAACATATTCAATGGTTAAAGTCATTAAATATGCGCAACAGTTAGTGTTGTAACTAATGAATCATTGGTCACTGAATAAATTAATCCAGGAATCTGTGTGGGTCTAATCGCTTTAAATCACAGCATGTAGATAACTTTGTTTTGCCTATTGCTTTTCCTCTGTTTTTTGATAGTTACATCACTAGCCTTCTTTTCTCTTTTTTCTAGGATTCAATGAAAGGTTGTAAATTATTTGGCCTGACATTTCCTTCATGATAATCAGTGTAAATTTGCAGCAACACGCTGTGAAAATCCTGCACAGAGCAATTTATACTCCGAAAATAATATCTCACACTGTTCTGCAACTACATTGTCAATACAAGATATAAGCATTTATTACCTGTAGAAGGATAATGAGCTAATGCTCTCTTCAAAAATATATTGAAAAAGGTAAAATCCAAAATTTAAAACTATACATTTATTCAGAAAGACATTGCTGGTTGCAATTTAACTTTGCAATCAAGACTACAACATTATACAAAAAAAAGTTTTTAAATTACCTGCAACACAGAGTGTCCGACAGGGCTATTTTCCGAAACCTCTGCCTCATAGGTGGACTTTTCAAACTTGGGAGCGTTATCATTGGCATCAGTCACCACCACTCTGAGTAATGCACTGCTGTAGCGCTGAGGGTTTCCTCCGTCCACTGCCTTTATGGTGAGGTCATAAGAATCCTTTAACTCACGATCTAGGTTGCCCAGGACAATGAGCTGTGGGAGCTTCCCTCCCCTGTCATCAGCCACTTGCAAACCGAACAGGGTTGCAGCATCTGGCCCTGCAGTCAGCGCATAGTCAGCTACCCCATTCCTGTCAGAGTCCCTGTCTGTAGCTAGAGGTATGGAGAATAACGCTCCCATGATCGTGTTCTCGGGGACTGAGATGGTAAGCACAGAAGAAGGAAATTGGGGGGTGTTGTCATTGATGTCCTGTACTTCAATGCGTCCTTCAATAAGCCGTGGGCTCTGGTTTTGTATCAGATCAGTCACTGATACTTCAAATTCCAGGTAGCAGGGTTTACCCTTAGCCAGGGAGCGACAGTCCCTCAGGGTTTCTCTGTCTATAGGAATCTCTGTGGTGTAAATGTCCCCTGTCTTTCCATCGACACGAAGATAAGGGGCACCCACCTCTAGCTTGTAAAGGTGACCTGAGTCTGGCAGTCCCTGGTCTGCTGCCAGGCTACCTATAAGAGTATTTGGAGGTTGCTCCTCCTGGACCCGGTACAGGATACTGCCTTCAGCAGAGCCACAGTGCAGCACCACGACCCAACACAATATCACTTGTAAATTCAGTTCCATTAGGTCATCAGACGATCTGCCTGTAAAATGAAAAAACACAGTATGGGTCAAAAAGCTGGTTCCCTTTCTGCTGAAACCTAGCTCCATAAAGCAATATTTACATAGCTGTTACTTTTTATTTAATTATTCAAAAATGAAAAAAAAAAACCTAACAGAGGGTCAAAGTGAAAGATAGACAGGGGAAGCAAGCAGCACTGTGTTTTTGAATAATGACTCTACAGCTATAAAATTAATTGTTTTGTTATTTTTTTTCAATAACTTGCAGTAAAACATACAGCATACCTAGAAGCACAACACAATAATTAGACAACAACAATAACAAAGAGAAAATAGGGCATTTAAAAAAAATGCAATCATAGCTATCCCAGCATGGCTTCTTTTCAGTCTCAGAGCTTCAAGAGTTTCAAAGAATATCTCAGCTTTATGAAATTCATGGAAAAATGAATGTAGGAACAAGAAATTATATCTTGTGAGCTTACATCCAAAACAAACTTGAGGGCCAGTGTGGATTGTTTCAGCTGAATAATCAAATAAAAATGTAATACAAAAACTCACAGCCTAAGAGACTCATTATTTCTGTATTACACAGCTAGACATTGAGTAGGGAAGCAATGTAGCTCTAAAATAACCTATGGTTTGAAATCCACGCTCAAGAATACACCCTTACGAGCGAGCCATGATTTTGTCTGCTGAGAGAAATGAAATATTTGACCAATTTGTTTACCCAAGAGGAATCTAACAATGAACACTTGCATACTAAAGGTCATAGAGTCAAATTTCTTTCTCATGCCAATTATGCAACTTTGCTACTATCACCGCATCCAGCTTCCACCTGCCATTGCACAATGCAGACATTTCCACACTCCATTGCCACTGGCTAGCTCAAACACTGTAATTATTATGTTTGATTTTGAACCTTTCAACTCTACAATTATGACCCATTATTTTAGTGTCTTCTTTGATCTTTACTCCCTCTAGCAAAAGACTTCTGTTTTTTTTTCATGCTGCAATGATTTTAGAGTATAATTATTTCCCCTCTCTCTCTTTCTTTCTGTGTGTGTGTGTATATGCATGTGTGTGTGTGTGTGTGTGTGTGTTTGAGTCCTATTGGTAATTGAAATAGGAGCAATCATTGGGGTTAAGTATCAAGGTCTCATGCTCTGGAAAACTTCATCGTGAAAACAGTTTAAAAAAATTGTGTGTCTGCTGAATCAGTGAGTGTCCACTTACTAATCAAGTAGAGTTCATTTCAGTGCATCCGATTTTATTGTGCTATGTTTGTGTTACTAATGCAAAACTTCAATATGCTGATCAATACCAGCTTTAATGACTCGGGTTATAATTAGACAACAGCAGTCCATGTCACAGTCACTGTCTCTTCAATACTGCACTGTTTTAAAGCTTTTCTTTATTTTCAAAGGCTTTTAAAGAAAGTTACAGCGAAAACAAAATGCTACTTCTAGTTTAAAAAGTTATGTAGAAGTAAATCATTATGTTAATCCAAACACAGGTGAATAGTTCCAATTATTTCCACAATAGTTTTTCAACTGAAACAGAAAAGAACACAGGTGCTCAGTCTAGTGTGGGTCTATGTCGTCGGTTAGGGATTAGGAAAAGAACAAGAGGAATCAATGCTTCCCTAGTCAGTGTGGGTGAGAGCTGATAGAAATATACATACAAGACAGCAAATGGAGTTATTTAAAATGCAACTGCATGCCACAATGTTCCATACAGGAGTAAGGTAAATGAGTATTAAGCTGGACAGCAAAACACAAATATACAGAAATTCAATGAAAAATCCAATTCCTTTTGAATACATTAAAATTGAAAGTGCTAGTTATTGATGCACTAATTGCTCAAAAATCAATGTCTCCCTTTTTACATTTGTGAGGAGAACCTTTAGTCAATGTGGCACGAACAGTGATTGTGCTTTCTCCAGTTCATGTTTGCAGTATAAAAAGGCGGGAAGAAGCAAAAACGCAATCAGCAGATACACTTTTCTTATACCCAAGACTGACATTAACAGCATCCCATGGGATATAATTTAAGGGGAATTATAAATCACACTGTAAATGTTTCATACTGCTGCCTACCATTCCATTAAACACATGCTTTCAACAAGATATGTGAACTTATGAGGTGTGCATGTATGTATTGCTTCAATTAAGTTGGTATTTGGAGAATTCAGTAAAAATTACTTTCGCTTACTTGATATGTGCATCATCTTTTTTTTTTCATTTCTATCTTAAAATTCACTGTTAAATTTCAAAGTTTTCAAATGTATTTATACAATGTGGCATCTAAAAATGGCATACCGTAGCTGATTTTATAATGGTTTGGTTGTAACTGCTCCCCTGATATTATAGCCACTTCTGCAATGAATAGCCATGCTTTGATAGTGACATGATTGTTATGGTTGATGACACTCATGACTTAATGTTTTCCAGTTGGCCTCATGCCTGTCTTCCAGATGGCACCATGCCTGACAGTCTAGTGAATTAGTGTCCTTTTTTTCTTTGTTTACATTTACATTAAAATTCATGTTGTTCGTAAAATATGCGTTTTGCTATCACTCAGTGAGAATCTCTGCTGAATATCATTGACACCACGCCTTTGGGTTTTATCTCACATTTCTCAGCTTTCGCACAAATATTTTATCAAAAGCTTGACAGTGCCAGATTTCCTTTTCTCATCTCAAAGTGCTCTGAGGTGGTGGCAAAGGGAAACAGGAGATTTTTCCCTACTGGAGGATGTGAAACTTCTTGGACTACTGGATGTCTCACTGAAATTTACTACCTGAGCAGCAAAATTGATAAATTAGAAGTGCTGAACACAACTAGGAGTGACATTTCCTGCGTCTCAGCTCTTTTTCTCCAAAAAACTTAGTTATCATCTGTCATCCCAGATGGTAGACCCACAAGACTACAAGCTGATTCAGGCAGATCCCGATACATAATTCAGCAGAAAATCAAAGGGAGGAACAAGAGGTTAGTTCTCTCACAGTGATAAAATGTTTTTGTCATAGGTGAGTCCTGTTGAACTGCTCAAAAAATCAAATACTTTTCTTAGTCATTTCCAAAATTAAGATTTTAGCTTCCTTAATAAATGAAATCAGCAATAAAAATGCCAGCTCTGGAGGAAAAATACTGAACTGGATCAGACATTGCAATATTGAGAAAGTGCTAGGCTGAGAAAATGAAATCTTTTTGGTTATTAAAATTCACCCTGTCAACAACCAAGTATTGTGGCAGCACTGCTGTAATAAACTAAAAAAGAATCACTGAATATAAACTTTTTTTCATTTGTCGTCTGAACAACCAATTATAACTCTAAATTATGTTTTTCTAGCTGCTCCACGGGACAACTTTGACATTGCTTGCTTGGGTAACTCCAACTGTAGTACAACTTGTGTAAGTCCAGGAGGCAGAACTGTAGAGACTGTGTATGGCCTAGGTGACTCTAATTCCCTTGAGCACTGTTTGTTGGAAAATACACCGTGTTCAAATAGACAATCCAATTAGCATACTGAGCCAGAGACCTTATGAAGGTGATCCAGAGCAACACATATTCTTCGGAAAAAAACAAAATCCTTCCAAATACAATCAAGGCATCCACCGTTTGACTGAGGAGGGAACTTTAAGTCTACCAGTGAAGCAGCACTCACCACAAAACCTCATGCTGTGATCACGCAATGGTCCAGATGGTTGCTATGTTGAAAAAACTGAAAAATGAATGCTGAAGGCAGCCTGTACCACAGTATGGAGGTGGACTTTCAAAGAGAGCCTCAAACTGCCCGATGGGTCTAGTGTCTGTTGTTTGTTTTGTATAGATGTTTAACTTTGCAACAGAAAACGCAGTCGAGGCAAAACTGCTTAGCAGTAGAGTTTAAGAGCCCAAGGTTTATCTGGATTGACCTGCCACACAGCAAGAACTCTGCCTGGCCAAACCTTAGCTTATTAAGACCATCAGGAGTGCCAACTGTAAGTAGTCCAAAAGTCCAGACAATTGAGTCGATGTTTTATGACTTATGTTCAGTTTGGCCATCATTACACAGACTCACAATTTGCTGGAGAAGCTCATCCAAGCATACTTTTTCCTCTGTCAACGACCTCTATAGATAACAGTGTCTCTAAGAGGGGAAGAAAAGTGGTTCTCACTCATGCCCACTTTCACACCTGGGAGGTTGTTGTCACTTATGTTCAAGTTTTACTGAAATGTAGTGTAGAGGTGTAGAGGTTGCTATTTGACTACACAACTCCTTGACCTGAAGGCAAAAAAACAAACCTTGAAAAAAGTGTCTGGTAAAGTACTGTGGTACTTTTTGCTGCATTATTTTTTATAAAGAAAAAGAAACAAATAGAACCATTAAATGTGAAATTATGTTATGTGTTAAATTTAGTTTGTCTTTTCTACAACCATAGACCTTTGTAATAATTAAAAGAAATGACCATTGCTTATTTGCCAGAAAAAAACATGCTGTTTTGATTTGAATTTCAGCAATATATTCAGAACAATACTGTTGTCTCCTAACAATATATCTTCCATCATTATCCTTCTGATGTCTGCGTATCATAGATTGAAGAAATAATAATCATTGATGCGCTTCACCATGTTCTAAAATAAATGAATAGATAAAAATGCAGGACTCCTCCACTCCACTGCTGCAATTTTTTGTTCTTCATTGAGGAGAAGGGGAAAAACTTCACAGGCAGCTAATACATCAGTCAAACTACGAGGTCTGATTGAGCCTCACACTGAGCCCTCACACAGTGCACAACCCAGTTGACCCATCTGTTCAAGAGAACTTTTCAACTTCTGCGTGTCTACAATCAAAGTGCCAGCCTAGGTTGTGTCAGGTTGTGCTGCGGTTCCCAAGGAAACAAGTCCCTGCCTCGCTAAGGCTGTGGTTGCTGAACCCAGTCATAACAATGACCTCTGAAAAATTGGTACCATCCAAGCCTATATGACAGATCCAGTCCTGAATCAACTGGAGAGAAGTGCAGAGATATCTTTACCACTGTTTACTGCTATAAAAAAAGTGGTGCTACAATTTTCATTCTGAGGACACACACACAATATATATATATATATATATATATATACAGAGAAAGAGAGACACATGAAAGAATTAGCATTACTTTATTTACTGTAAGTAACTCTGATAAATATAGGGAAGGAAATACAAGTAGGAGGGTGAAGTTTGATTAAACAGAAATAATTGGTAAGATAAATGCTAATAAAAAAGTTAATGCAGTACTTCAGCTAACAATAACATTGTATAAATTATGGAGTGATTATGTTGTTTTTCATTTTTGTAATTGAAAAATAAATAACACATCTTTTACATGCCAGTAGTAATTTGCATTGTTTGTGAAAGATTGTGAAGTAGATCAAAATCGACTTTTAGAACAATATTTAGCTTAAAATGAAATTATTTAAAAAAAATGATAAAGGGGTTTGTGCCTGATTATGTAAGTGTTGGTATTATACATTTAAAAAAAAAGGTAGTTATAAAAATGAAGAACAATATAATTGTGCTGCGGAGCATGTGCGCCTGCTCTGGTTGCTATGGAGACAGACTATCTTCTGACTGAGTCAACTCAGAGACTGACTGGGTGACATTTGCTCTTTAAGTTGGCCGCTCCACAGGTCCAGCAGAAATGACTCACATGCAGAATTAACTGAGGCATAATAGTAAATTACTCATAAGAAAAAAGGTTAGAGTTGTGCCGTGAAGAAAAAAAATCATCAGAGGAATTAAAATTGGCTATTTTGTAGTAGTTTTGCAGCAACTGATAAAAGCAGGACCTGAATTTTCACCTGTTACATGCTGGGACTCAGGTTCATGAATTTGTGCTGTACAACGCTGTTCTGTGCTCCTTCCTGCTTTGCCAGAGTGTGGAAAGATAACAGATGATTTAATGATTTTCTCAACTGATGTGATTTGATGTATTGGCTGACTCTGCGCCTTTAGCTAGTATAACAGGTAAAATCCATTACCCTCCCACCGGCATGATTTATGATTGGTAGTATCACAGCTATGGGTCTCTCTTTACACTGCTGATGTACCAATGGAATTTACTGCCAAATGTAAGGCTGCACTCTTATACTGACTGCAAACTGTGGGTTTCGGTAATGAGAAAGCAACAGCCTTTGGTTGGAAACACTTTCTAAAGCCGTGAGCACTGGAATTATCCATATGCATGCTGAGACGCAGAACACTCATGTGTCACTCCTGTCACAAAGAAGTAAAATTAAAAATTAAAAAAAAAAGAAATACACTGAGATCGAAAAGGCCACATTCCGATATTAAAAGGTTCTTTATATAAAGATATAAAGAAACTGGCAGGCCGTTTAATTTGGATTCCTCACTGCTCTGTGTAACATGATTAAAACAGAGTTTAATTTCCTTATAGGGGTTATTGTACTGCTTTTGTGCAGTAAAGGTTCACTCCCTCAAGCTCAAATACCTGCTGGAGAAGTCAGAAAAAAATCCTTTTGTGCCCTTTCCACAATTTGATCCGTTTACCACACACTTACCCTTCCTTCAGCAACCCCATTACATGGCACATTGCATGTTATTGTACAATATTCAGAGGAAAGTTCCCTACTGGTAATAATTCAAAAATAAAATAGGCAGAGGAAATTAGCCTTACAGTCTATTCTTATGTGGGATAGATAGATAGATAGATAGATAGATAGATAGATAGATAGATAGATAGATAGATAGATAGAAGTTTTATTCACTGAATGATTTAGATAATAACATTTAACAGGTTCATGTCTTACAGACAGTTTCTCAGATCTGGGCTACAAGTAGGTTATAGGCCTGTTTGATCTGCTCTGTTATGACGGCCTTGTAGCCTAAAGTATGTGTGGGAACTTAGACCGACATCATTACGTAGAGCAGACTATTAAAATGTGCCTGGTGGTCGGCGGAGTGGCGAGAAACAACACCCCAGACTCTCACTGGAGAGCACAGGAGATTACCCGTGCCGATGATCTGATCAAAGATTTCACCCCCCAATTATAAGCACGAATCTCTCCATAGAAAAACTGTATAACAGTTATGAACACGACAGGCTGCAGGAGAAGTCCGAATTGTTTGCAAGAAATTGTTTAGAGTAAACAACGCCAAATCAAGATGCACGAATAAAGGCAATTAGTATGATGTTTGCAGCTAGTATGGGATAAATGGCGAAAGAAGGATGATACAAATGGTTCACATTTTCTGCTTCACAGAATCATAATGGTGCAATAAAATGCAATTAGCCGATCGCCGGTACAGATCAGCTTGAAGCACACGCACTCATATTGTCGCTGAAGTGCAATGATATGCAGAGTTAATGACTTAATACCAACCCCGACGCAGGCTGGAACTCGTGTCTACTCGGATGGGTTTTAATTAAAATGCATCGTCTAATTTATCATGCAGCGGATCCTTATTGCGGGTGGCACATCTAGCCTTTGTACCGCCTATCAACCTGTAACACCGAACAGCCAGCTGTTTTGTGCTCTGTGTGTGTCTATTATAAAGTGCAACTTGTTGTATAAACGATCTGTTTGAGCCACGGCCTGTGTTAAGCGACAACACTTCAGACAAGTCCGAAATGCATTCCTATAAACTTCATTGGCATTGCATCATGAATCACGCACAGTGGCCACCGGTCAAATCAACTTTCTTGATTATTTCTGCAGTAATTTCAGTACCTGAGCCAGAGACTTTTTACGTGAGCGCTTGTCGCGTAGCCAATTCTTCCCGCAGCTGATATGTCCAGCGGTGCTCCCAGAGGCAGGTGTCTAACCCTCAAACCTCCGTCACAGTGCTGAGATCAAAAATCACTTCAGCAGCCACAAAATCCATAGACAGTACTCAGAACTTTCCGCATGAAAATTCAGAATCCTTCGTTCACCGCCGTCCGACAGTGTGAAGAACAGAGACAGTTTTCAGTCCGTTGGAATATGCGGCTGTAACTTATGAGCAATTATATTGTATAGACTGTTTTATGATAGAGATGGGAAACCAAGAATCTCATTCCATAAAGATGCCCTACTGTGTGCCATTTTCAATCCTCAGTAACTGATCCTTGGAAAGATTTGCACTCGCTGTCGCATCCCTTTGCTCCAAGTTTCTCCAGCCCTGATCTAAGTAGCTTAGAGCGCACTCTAAGGACGCACTGGATGTCTAAAACACAGCAAAAGAAATGTCATTTTCGCAACGTGCAAAAATAAACCGCTAACCGGTTCTAAACAAGAAGCCCATCTGAAGCATTTCCAGACAGCAAGTGGTGAGATACAGTGGGTACGTTAGTTGCTCCCCTAGCTCCCTCTCTCTTTTCTCTCTCTACTCATCAGAGCGTGGGAGGAGGTGGGGCTCCCATCCACCGCAGCACACAGCAACTTCATACTCTACATTATGCCAAGGCTGCCTACCAGGAAATTATGTGATGCCTACAGTTTAAGAGGATCTTATTAAACTGGGTCAGCTCAAACAGGGGGATGCACCTTATTAAATAAGCTTATCAAGAAATCACTCCGCTTGCCTTACACTATTTTAATTCGTGTCAGTCTTTCCTTTCCCCTCAAAACTGCTCACTAATCACACAACGTGTCCAAAATTGATGTAACAGGTAGCCAGTGCCGGCGGTTTACTTGTTGATATGCATTACATGTAGCAAAATGAGCGGCCTAAAATGGAAGCTGTTTGGCCACTATTTATTCATTTGGCGCCACCCTCAGGCGGTTATGATAGGGAAGAAGAGAAGCAGCACAGTCTATATCTGCTGAGGAAACTGTTAATAATGCTTGATGTAGGAGTAATATGCGCTACACTGTCTTGTTCTTGGAGACAATGACTATCAACTGCACGTGAAACAAACTGTGCTGTTGGTGTACAATGGAATAAACTAGTAATGTGTGGCATCATCTGTTAAAACTGCAGCAGTGTAATTAAAAAAAACAATGCTTTTGCTCAGGGCTATAAATCAGCATGGCTCAGCAGGGAGAGAAATTCATCCCACGCCACAGTTACTCTCTTCCTTTCTTCCTGAACACTGATGCCAGTGATCATAACTGCTTAGGCATAAAGCAATGGACCAGGAGTAATGAGTCAAATGCAGGGTTTTGTCACAAAGGAAAGCCTTAAGCAATGTCCTCCGGAGAAAACTTGATTTCCTATCTTCCCAAGCCATTCAGAAGCAAGAGTTTATCAGAGTGTTTCCAGTCTGTGATCCTTTACTCCTCCCCCATCTCTCATTAGCTGCAAACACACAGCTGTTGGGTTACCTCTCCAGGGCTCCCATTAAGGGCTGCCACTCAGGCTTACAGTGTCCCTGAGCCAATCATATTAGAGCTCCCGCCCACGCATCGCCACCGCTATGCTGCTTTTCAACAGCCATACTAATAACATTTAAGTAATTTCACAGGTGGCCCAGAAGGGGCCTGAGAACACTGCGAGGTAGCCTACAAAATGAAAAGGTAAATGTTGGAAGAGAAGAAATGAACATTTTATGCATACAAATTAAAATCAATTACGAAATAATTAGGAGATTATGAGTCAGTGTTCCAACAAAGTGACCAACCCACTTGAGCAAAATCATTATATTTCATTATAGATGTGTTAAAGAATCATTTTTGTGATTTGGTTGTTTGCTGATCTTTTCCTGTCTAATTAAATAGACAATTGGAAATTGAAGGCAGTGTTTCAAGACAGTTAAAGTGAAACAACTGATTACATGTATGGTGGCCTTGTTAAAGCTTCACTCAAAGCGATTTTCTGAGGATATCTGGCATTCATATTCATGCTTTTATTTAACCAGAGTGCTGAGACAGACCAAGGCCATGATTTAACATTTCTATTGTCTATTTCAGGTATAACTGGTTCAGTGTAGCCTAAAACACTGCATTTGATGTCTTTATTAGCCAGTTTAAAGAGCGCAGGCAGGTTTGATTCCCATTCTCTTTTTCCTGGTGGCCATATTATGATGTGAGGGAAAAACGAGGACAAGGGAAGGGTAATAGGTGCATCAGAAGAAAGGCAGATTATGCCCTCAAATTTCCCAAAAGGGCCTGCCCACCATGCACAATCTAGCCAGCACATTGTCTGTGGCCAGCACCCTGAATACTACAGTCTCATACTTGGCTTTATCTGATTTATTTCAAAGCTGACCTAGTCCAGCCAGCACATTCAACAAACATCAATTAAGAACTTGGCAAGTACTCCAGAAAATATGTTTTCAGGACCCATTTCCAATTACGTCAACTGATGCTGAAAAACTTGGAAGCTTTTGTAAGCTTGAATCCTCTAAGGCAGACGGAATGTTAGAATTCTAAGCTTGTGGTTTGTTTGCTCTCACAAGCACACAGCAACACAGCATGTGAATGTGATCTGTATACATTTACATCTATTCTCTTATCATAAACCACACCTGGAGCACCGTCCCTCCTCCCACAAACACATACTTTCGGAGGAGGCATACACAAAGAAACGACAAATACAGAATCAACAACATGCAGAAGCAAGGTGACACACACGCAACACAAATGGACATCAAAAGCAGAAAAAATGAGGTGAAAATGTTGTCAGTATATACTTTGAAGTGCAAATCCATACTGAATGATAATGGGCAAAAAAAAAAAAAAAAACTTTTCCCACAATGTTCTCTATAGATACAAATGTTCAAAGTTGGGGAAACTCTTGTCACATCCCAGTCAGTTTTTCCTTTTGACAGATGATTGAGCAGACACGCTGTGCCATCACAGGGTGTGGCCAGACATGCTACAAGATTTAAGCCCATAGGCATCAGTGCAGCAGTAGTTCTCTGCCATATGTGATCTGGAGCGACTTTACTCTCTAAATGTCACTGCAATAAAAATAAAGTGAGATATGTCAGCTGTGGGGAAGAGCATCCTTTATCTTTCTTATATTTCTTTTCTTTTCCTTTTCCTTCTTGTGCTGACTCAGTTGAAGAATATGATGCATTCAAATATTTAGAAAATCTACTTGTGGAGCCAAAGCATATGGGTCAACTGACAGATAGAGGGAGCACTGATGCGAAGAGAAAAATGCACTGTTCTTTAGCCATTCAGCCCAGAGAGACAGACAAGGAACAAACTTATAAGGTAAGATTTGACCAAAAAAATGTAAATCTGATTTGTTTAAAGATGTATAGTTTCTGATTTTTGTTGAATAGACTCATAATTTTATAGAAATAAGAGATAAATGTTAAAACAATTCTGCAGTAATACTAGAGGGATGTCTTAAGAATATTTACCCACAAGTAATAGATACTTGGTTTCAACAATAAAATGGTGAAAAGGCTAAAAGTAATGAATAAACAGCAAAATTGATCAATTGAAGCAGGTGTCTAATAAAATGAATATATAAGAAAAAATGGTAAATGATTATGCTGATGGATGAAAAAAAAGGTTGACACAATAATTAGTCATGGAGAAATGGTTAAAATGTTAAATTGCAATAAATATGTCACTGAATACCAAAACGAATAAATAAATCCAAAAGAATTTACATGAACATATTTTCATTTGTTGAAGATGAACCTTAAAAAATGTAAATATTTTTGACTGAGATCATAAATAATTAAACACATTTTTTACTTCTGTGCACATCAGTTGTTGGAATTAAAGAAACCGTCCATTACGTCCTTCAATTTGCTGTAACAGTAATAGGTTGATCATAGCAGCAACTTTACTAACCTCCCAAGTATAAAAATGTTGGGGTTTATGTTGTTGTTGTTTCTTAATATATTGCAAATCCATTACATTTCGTTCCATAATCTGGTGCAAATTATATGAAGATCCCTAGTGATGTAATTCTGCATTGTCTAATTCATTTTTTTTTCAGTTTAGCTGAGAAAACAGTTTTAGAATATCAGAAAATATCACATATTTGATTTAGACATTACTGATTCATTACACAACTTTAAATCCCTCCTTTGTGATGAGTGAAAAGTGAGGATTATCTATAAATATAATGTTCCTATATCATTGCAGACATATTAATACCTCTGCAAACACACAATACAAGCCACAGTTTGTGGTAAAACTCTAAATTTGATGTTTTTCATGTCAATAGGAAAGACAGCTCAAAAAAATGAAATAAATAAAAGAAACAATATTAGTCACGTCAGGTGGAAATGATCTAACAAGTAAAATGTGGTAATGGACAGCTGATTTCCTAATGGCAGACAGGTATCAGAAGAGACTTAAAAGATGTGTGTTTATAAAGCTGTCAGCACCACATGAACAACTCACCGTCACTCCTGTCAAGATTTACCTTGGTGTCTGAGTGTGTGGTAGGCGTTGGGTGTGGGAGAGAGAGTGTTTGTGTGTATGTGTGCACTTAAGATCTGCGGTTAAAAAGACTGAACAATTTAGCAGTAATATTTCCACCAGCAGCTCCTGATTCTATTCTGTTGTCGTTACATATAATGTATAATTCCTTTTTTTCCCCCACACAGTGACATACATGAAACCAGCGAGGAGCTTAGCATTATTCCCTCTATATATATAGCTATAGCTATATATTCTTAAGGGGAGATATAGAGATTGTCAGCTCAGTGACAAAGCCAAAGCATCAGTAAAAAGTTAAGACTGGCTGCAGTCATTGGTTAAGGCTTTGCTTATTCTTCTGAATTTATTCCTTTTGTATGAGGTCTGACCCTCACTTCACCTTTGTAGAATACCACAGACAGTATATGTTGGTAGAAAAATAACATGCAGACTATGCTGCTAGGTTTTATTCAGTGAGGAGACTCTACAGTTAGAGAAGACACTTGGACTTGTGTTTAGACCCATGTGGTTTGGTTAATTAACAGAAAGAGCTCTCTTGCAAGCAGAGTATTGAGAGGCAGGAAGATCCACATAACCCGTCCCTTGTGTAAATGAAATATATGAAAACAAGGTGCTATGGAAATAGCACTTTCATTTTCACCAGACTGGACTCAAAACAACCAACGAATGGGGAGATGTTTTAAAATTAATTAACACTTTAGTGAATATGATGAGTATATAGCACAGTGGGAGTGAGTAATCCTGTTACTGTCATGAAAGCATGTCTTCATGTCTTATCCTAAGGCTTTCTTATCATATTGAGTAGGCTACATTTATTCCAGGTGCTATATGGATGTCACTGTTCCTCTTATTGGAGCATGCTGGTTTGCTTTGTGTTTAGGAATTCCAAGAGCTAGAGCAGTTTGCATTTCTTCTTCGTGTTCATTGTTTTTGTTTGCCACTGGGTTTGGATTATATTCACATGATTTAAAAA